AATACTTTTAAGCTTGTGTGGGTTTTTAAGAAAGTAGCTATTGTATAGAGTGCAGGATTCCAAAATGGCAGGACTGTCTTTTCATTCAAACTGGGCTTTGCTAGGCCGCTTTGAAACTTGCAAATTTGATTAATGTGTGTTCAGGGCACTTGAGACTACTTTGTGCCGGTCTTCTATAGTGGTAGACAATTTGAATTTTTCTGTGTGTGTGAAGAACCTATTCTTGATAACAGAGAGTAGGGAGTAAAGTGGTTTCAGACTTTGTTCTAGTTTTCAAATCTTAATAAAATTTAAAACTTTTGTCTGGAATGTTATGCTACCAGCAGGGCTAGCACTGATGAGTGGATGATTTTGGACGACCTGCTCTAGGTGTACAGCCACAGCACGGGATTTGTTTAAAACAAGACTGAAGTTATGCTGTGTCCTCAAACCATGCCCTGGACAAGTCAGGACTTGGAGCAGGGCCAAGTACCTTTTTTTGCTGGTTGTATGTTTGCCTGGATGCAAAGATGCATCTGATGGATCTCAGTGGAATACCCAAAAGCATGCTGCTTTTTCCTCCCAAGGCCAGTGTGATTTAGAGGCTGGCTTAGGGCATTAGAGCAAGCATCCAACCTCAATATCTTACTGGAGTCCCTTGCAAGCTGTAGCATGCTTACTCTCTAGTGAAATACTGCCAATAAGGAAAAAAAAAACAAAACCACTGCTGCAATTTTGCACAGCAGGCACAAATGGTGTGTGCCCCATTCCCTGCTTCCCGAACTTCCCGATTCCTACTGTGTGGCAAGCAGCCTTTTCCTCCTATCCCAAAGCCACGGGCAGGCTGCCTGCATGCCCTTTTCCAGTACTGTGACTCCCAGCTGTGAGAGCAGCCTTCTTTTCCCAAGGCGGTGGAGCCTTGCGGGCTGCCTGATCTCCTAAACCTCTGTTCCTGTAGCTCCACAGCAGGTGAATAGTGTTCAAACTCCAGAGGGACTTCGGGAGCCTGTTCGAAGTTGCCAGCATGCTTCCATGATGCATTCTGGTGGGGTTTCCCAAGCCTAAATGCAGCTTTTCCCTTAGTCCTACCTCTGGCACTACTTCACACATGCCCCTACCCCTCCGGCTGGTAGGAGCTCCCTCTTTGCACTTCCTGGCTTTTGCTTCCAGGCATCGCTTTGAAGCTTTCCTGATCTCACTCCCTCTGCTTTGGGATATTGCTACTGACCTTTACAAAACCTTTTCACCTGCAATTCATGTAAGAGGCTACTCAAAATGAAACTTTCGTATCTCTTGCTTCTATGCTGCCTGGACTTCTCTTGGACTGCACTGAGGGTGTGAACCTCTTTCCCATGCACCTCTGACTCCTGCTTCAGATGTCAGTCTTGCCCTACAGTGAGTTAACTCAGAGCCCAGGCTGTGGGGGAGTCCACATTTACCCTTACAAGTCTGCACACTGTCTTCTGAATCAGTAACAAGTGGCGTGTCTCACCGTAAGCAAAGTTAGAACTTGAAGAGAGGTATCTGAAATCCCCTGGGGGAAGGAGAAGTCTTGGGTCTAATCCTAACATACTCCAGAAAGAGTCAGCAGAGGAGCTCAGCAAGCCCCACCCAGGAAGGCTGAACTGGAATTGCAGTTTGGCTGTTTCAGGCAGCCCAGAACAGGGTGGTAACTGGGCAGCAGTCTCTGTTGTCCTTGCTTTTTCTCTAGGAAATGACTCTGCAGCTCCCTCCATCTTAAGGGAAGAAATTGTAGGAGGGTTCAAGTAATCAGGCTAATTCTTCTATAGGATTTACGCAGAAAAACTTGTGTATGTTTGCCTTATTTCTTATGGCTCTTTAACTCTGTGGAATTATCTCAGCCACAAGTCCAAGCTGGGTATAGGGAAGAAGTGGGGCAGAGGTTGCCAGCCCTGAATGGAGGATGTGGATGAAAAGAGTTGAAGATAAGCAGAACCAGATATCTGTCTGGGAGTTGACGAGGCCCTTGGACACGCCAGAGCAAGGACAGGAAGGTGCTGGCTGCTGTGCTGAGCCTCCTGAGGGTGCGTAGGATGCAGGTTCTCCTTGCTGCTTGCACAGACACTGCGCTGCCCTGTGGCATGAAGGAGGACTTCCCAGTTCCTTCCCTTGCCCAGGGGACTGGCCCTGCAGCTTCACTGCTTTGAGGCTGATCTTGTGCCGCAGTGAAATGTCTCCAGGGAGCTAGCTGTGGGCTGATACCTGGGCCTGTACAGCTTCTGTGAATTAACTGTGGTCTGAGGACCACAGTAAGTAGCTTAGGAGAAGTGGAACCCTTGCTCTGCCTTGCTGCCCCAGTGCCCCTTGTCTGGGCAGTAGAAGGGTCTGGAGAAGGAGGAGGGAACCAGGTGCACTCTGAGGATGGTGATTCTTCTTTGGGTATTTCTGCACACTAGCAGGGAGCTGCAAATTAGCCAGCCTCAGGGCAGTTTGTCTCTCTGACGCCTAGGTCTGGCCACCCAGGATCCTAACCATATTGTTTTTCTCTGTCTGACTTACAGAAAGTGAAGCCAGAAGCCTGCACTGGTCCCATAGTCCTTGAGGAATCAAAGCTGTGAAACAGAGGGGTGGCAGAGCTGGGAGATGCAACCCCCCTCATTCCCATCTTTGCTACCTACACTGTGCTCTTTTTCCATATGCACCATGACAGAGGGCTCAGTCTCGGGACAGAAGCCCAGTGAACTGCTTGTGGAGAGTGTGAAAGAGCAAAACAAGAAGGGAGTCGCTCTCTTCAGTTTTACCTCTGCATCTTGCTGTTTTGGAGACTTTGCTGCTTGGGAGGAAAAGTTGGGAAAACCTACTGCTTTCCCCCTGCCACTATGTATGCTTGGAAGAGAAAAAGCACGCGTGCTGAGAAATGCCATAGTTCCAGGCTAGCCCTGAGCATGAGGGTGGCACCCTGCATGTGGCTGCATCTCTTCTCACAAGCAAGCTGTGACATGCAGTGCAGAAGCTGGACCACACTTACTCTGTAAGCAGCCCTGGAAGAGCTTTCAGCTGGCTCTCAGGAAGAGTGATTGTTCTGCCTTGCTGCCTGTGATGCTCTGTGTTGCACAGGTGAGGGTAGAGGCCTCAGCAGTATCACCAGCAAGTGCAAAGCAATGCATCTGCCACTGCCAGCTCTGGTTTTATTACATGGCTGTCCCAGATGAAGCAGTCTTCATCTGTGGATAAACCTCCGCTCAGAATTCACTGAGGTTGCCCTAATGTTCCTACATGTTAGGAGTAACTGAGAGATACCAATATGCCTCCTTCTACCTGGAGGCAAGGACTAGTTCTGCAGCTTATGAAGCTACAGCCTAAGCCCAGCTCATCACTACACTAGCAACAGGAGTGAGTCAAACCACAAGCTCCCTGGGCTAAGGACTATCTCTTCCTCCTTAACGATAAAGTGCCTTGTGTGTGTTTCAACACTGCATAAAAACTTTTGTGAAGTGATATATTGAGACAACCAGCCAAGGCTGTGTTGCTCTTCACAGCCACAGAGAGGGATTTGAGTATGACAGGAATTCAGATTTGCTCCAGTGCGGAAGCTTCCCACTTTATAACAGAAAACAGGAGAAGCAGCCCTTTTACCAGCATTTGTGTCTCATAGACACTGCCCCTCTGTATGCTGCTGTTTATCTTCTAAACACAAATGTAGATCCTTATATCTGCCCTCTTTTGTTTTCAGCATCCCTCCCCTGGTGAAGACATCAAGTGTCCTTATACTCTTTAAATCAAGCAGTTATGCATATATAATTGGGGGGGGTGGACAAAACCCACAACCAGGTGGAACAGATAAAAACAGTCCTCTGACATACCATTTTTGACAAAACATTTTTTGGGTAAAATTATACAATCTTTTGACACATTAAAAAATTAAAGTCCTATCTTTGCTAGTTTGGGGTTGAGAATGGGGGTCTAAAATGGCTTTTAAATTGTTTTTATATAAAATAAAAACATTTTCAAAGTGTACAATGAAACCTGACACATTCATATTAAATGGCTGAAACAGTCTACATCTGGCTCTTTCAATAGCCTGAAATGTTCTGCAGAATGGAAAAATCACCTTTCTGCCCCGTGCTACTGTTGTGCTCTTTTCCTGCATTCTGTGTTTTTCCTCACTACCTTCCCAGGAGATCCTGCTCGCTCCTTCCTACCTTCTGTGCACTGCCCATCTGCTTTGGGCATTATTTCATCTATGTCTAAGCAACCTGTTCCTGTTTTCTCCGTCTTCTGTAGTTATAGCTCACTGCAAAGGTAGCTCCGTCCTCGCTCACAGATGTGTGCGGCTTGCTGTTACCAGTGTGCTGCAGAAGCGAGAGCTGCAACAACTCTCTTCGTGTGTGCAATGCGAGCAGTCAGACCTGGAACTTTGTGGAAAGGAGTCAGGGAAAGGTGGGCTTGCTCAGAGAGATGATTTACCCTGCAACACACAGTAGAAACTGCTGTTTGCTCTGAGGTTGCACATCTCTACCTGCTGCTGTGTAACAGAAAGACAGACACAGCGCCCTGCAGTTTTCTGGCATTTATTAGAAACGGCCCCCGAGGAACACACACACACACATATGCAAGTTACACAGCAGTGCCAGGGGCAGCACGTGTTTTCTCTTTCTGGTCCAAGCAGTGCCAGGGGCAGCACACATTCTCTCTTTCTGGTCCAAAGTGCTCGGTGGATCCTGGGCTAGCTCCACACCTCCTCCCCACAGGTACACTGGGAGAGAAGTCCTTAGTGCACTGGGCACGCCTGAGACATTCCCTGCTATCCTCCAGGGAGGCAGTCACCAACTGCCCCCCGCAAGCTTTGACACAAACTCCTCTGGGACTTGGTCATCTTTGACATCACTCAATTTAAATGTTGCCTGTACAAGAAAACCCACTTGGTAATGAAGAATGATTGACAGAGTCCAACATCGATCCGCCAGTGGGACCGGAGTTCTGGAGAAATCCAGCTGAGCTTTAGCAGAATTTGGCAGTGAAGACAGGAGACAACGCTGACCTACACAGGGCCCTCAGCTTCAGTTTTTCTTCTTGTTTTGTGACAGTGCTTCTACCTCCAGGTACTGAAGCCCAATCAACATCCCCAAGATAGAGAAACCTGCGATGGAGGTACAGGATGAGTTGCGCAGAAAATGCTGGACCGGAGATGAGACATTCCCTCCCACCATCCCCTCCCTTTTCGGGGCGGGGGGGGCAAACCATAGCTCCAAGGACAGTTTGTGGGGGGAGGATGCAGAGCTCTACTTACTTGCTACCATGAGGGGTGCCATAACTCCAATTGTCAAGGCTGCAGTGTGGTAAATGAAGACCTCGGCGAGGAAGTGAACAAGGGCCAAAAAGAAGGTGAAGAGCGTGATGTAATAGAGGCTGTTGGAGAGCAGAAAGAAGCAGGTTATCTTAGAGCCCATAGTATGGGCACGAGCATGGCTGAGCGGAAGAGGCAAACCTGGTTGCTGCCCTGTCTGTCCTCACTGTGGCAGCACAGAGGGCACTTGGTCCCTTGCCCAGCAAGGTGCAAAAGCTCCCTGGACAACAGTTGAGGGAACAGGACAGCATGTTCAATCGTGCACTGAAAGTCACAGGCATTATCTGGCCTGAAGACAAGTGAAGAGAGGAAAGCAAGGGTAGGGCACCAGTGCAGTGAGAATGAAGCGAGAAGCATGTGCACACACAAAAAGAGGGTGAGAACTGGTTGAGCGGAGAACTAGGACAACAGGACTTGGCTGACTCCAGGTTGCATGACCCAACACATCTTCCCACCTGTGCTCCTGCTACCCTCTAGGGGCCACAGCTGTGGAAAGGGAGCAGGTCCAAGAGATGCAAGATAAAAATCCTAAGAAATAATTGGCTGCATAGCAATTGGCATTACCACCACCCCCTAAAAACAGACAACTGAGTCCCCGCCTAGGCAATCCAAGGACACGCTGCCATGTGAACAGTGACTTCTGCTGCAGGGCTGGGCGAGGCAGTGACAAAAGAGCGAGTTCTAGTAGCCTCCAACATGAGCTTTGTCTGACACAGACCCAGAGTCACCCTGCTTGGAAATCCCTCTCAGAAACACTTCTGTTACCACGGGGAGAAATGGCCTGCCTCCCACCACAGCCCCGGGCTGCACCTCAGGCCTTGCCCCCAGCCCCAGATAAGGGTCTGTGGAAGAAGGCTGCGGGTTACGACCACTGCAAGCGGCCTCTCAACCTGCCACAGTCTTTACCTGAGCTGTCATAGGAAAAGAAGTACCGAGCATCAGTCAGACCACAGCACTAGCAACTGCTTAATGTCAACAGAGCAGCAGCACTATCAGAAGATGCTTTGCAAGCTGGAGCTCAGAAATTTGTGACATAAGAAGCTCTCAGATCTCCCGATCTCCGCCCTGAGCTAAGACACAGAACTCGCAGGCACTGGCTCTCCCCAGAGTTCCAAACCCCGCACTGCTCTGTCAGCTTTCAACCCCGCAGAGAGTTCAGGACCAGTTCCTGCTTCCCCGCCTCCTCCGCACCGCCCCCGGAGCTGGCAAACCGCGGCGCTTCGGCCCTACGTACGTCCTGTTGCGGATGTCGATGGCGCAGAGGCAGCGGATCAGCGACGACAGCAGGGTCCACACGCCGAAGGTCCGCGCCTGGAG